ATAATTTTATGCATGCTTCATGGTTTTCCATGTAAGTATGCCGCAATAAAACAGAACATCTGAACTAATATTGGTCAGGTTATTCTCACTGAAGTCACGTCCTGGTTACTTCAAGAATAATTAACTTTACAAATGGAGCAAAAACTTCAGTTACGTGACTGCACCCCATCTGATGTTCACACAGCACTTTATAGTATTTCCAACTATCAGGGGCGTGGACGAATTCCTTTAAGTGGGCGTGGGGGTCGGTTTAGGTCTGGTGGTCGTGGATCATACGGTGCTCGCGGTCCATATGGTGGTAGGACTCGTGGCCATCTCTCGCAGCCCAGCGGAAGGGGGTTTACCTCTCCCCGTAGCTACATTATTTTTCAGATTTGTGGAAAGTATAATCATGTTGCATGGGATTGTTGGCATCGGTTTGATTCTGAATATGCAGGACCATCTTCCACCCAACCTCCACACGTGTTTTATGCGAGTCAATCCTCTGCTCCAAATGAAAAAGCTGGATTTTAAATAATTCCGGATCTGTCTCGTCTCTACTCACACACTCCATACTCTGGTACTGAGACTGTTACTAGTGCACGTGGTCATCGTTTACCTATTGCAAATGTTGGCTCGGGTAAAATACCCACCCTCTCTGGAATTTTTCATCTTGGTAACCTCTTACATGTTCCCTCACTTAAATCCCAACTTCTCTCTATTTATCGTTTTACCAAATATAACAATTGTACCCTCTTTTTTAACCCTAATAAATTTCAGATCCTAGACAATAGCACCCATTGGGTGAGATACAGAGGGTGTTGTGAGCAAGGAATTTATTTGTTGCCTTCCAACTATCATGCGTCAGAGTCCTTTATGGTGTCTCTGTCTATGCGATCTGCAGTCCTCACCTCTCAAGATTGGCATCATCAGCTGGGGCATCCTTCCCTAGAAGTTACCAATAGTCTTCTTTCCTCTCTTGGTTTTCCCTCTATGTCCAGTGTATTGTCTTGTGACTCTTGCTTTGTTTCCAAGTCTCATAAATTACCTTTTGTTTCTTCATATATTGCAGTTACTTTTCCATTCCAATTAATACACTCTGATGTCTTGGGGCCTACTTCTATTCTCTCTTTTGGTGGTTTTAGATATTATATCTCTTTTATTCATGATTTTACAAAGTTTTCGTGGTTGTACCCATTGAAACAAAAGTCGGAAGCCTTTAGTGCTTTTCAAAGTTTCCCGTTCATGGTTCAAAATCAATTTGGAACCACTATCAAATTCTTTCAAACTGATAATGGTAAAGAATACATTAATAAGTATCTTGGCCTTTTTATACAACGTCTTGGGCCCCTCCACCAAAAAACTTGTCCTTATACCCCTGAGCAAAATGGAGTGGCTGAATGCAAACATCGCCATCTCATAGAAACTGTAATTACTCTTCTCCAGACATCCCACCTTCCTGCTATTTTTTAGGTTGAGGCCCTTGCCACTGCAAATTTTCTCATTAATCGTCTTCCAAAAAAATCCTTAGCTCATATTTCTCCTTATGAAAAACTTTACAATCACTCTCCTTATTATTCCTTCTTACGTATTTTCGAGTGTCTTGCCTATCCACATCTTCGTCATGAAGCTAATCATAAACTTCAACCGCGATCCAAACCATGTTTTTTTGTTGGGTACAAACCCTTAACCAAAGGGTATCAGTATTTTGACATGTCCACCTCTAACTTTATGTTGCCCGTCATGTTTGTTACAATGAATCTGAGTTTCCTTACCATCAGCTTCTCACCTCAGATGGGATCGATGTTTCCTCTTCCTCTTCTTCTTTTTTTGGCATTCTTCCTCTTTTCTCATCCTCCCAGAGCCGTGCTCACATGCCTTTGTTTCCTTCCGTAGCCAACCCACCTTACATCGATCCTACCAATCAATCTCATCCCATTTCCCTGTATACTCTTCCCCATCGCCGAGTGACACATGCTGAGACCAACAACTCACTGCCAAGAAACACAACCCACTGCCAAGACCAACACCTTACCTCCACCTCCATGCATTCCACCAGGACGAACAACCCACCTCTCTCCGATCCCCTTTGCTTATTTCTCCGGTCATCTCCCGACACCCCATGATCGCCCGGGCCAAAAGTGGTATTTTTAAACCTAAACTCTATGCCTCCACCATTCCTTTTGATGAACCACCTCTCACTGTGCCAACCATCTAAAAGCAATCTCCTCAGAACAAATATTAATTGGTTTTAGACTATGGATGATGAGTTTGAGGCGTTACAGAGACAAAGTACTTGGGAGTTAGTTCCTCCCCCTAATGATTGTTTTCCGATTGGCTGCAAGTGGGTTTATCGCATTAAGAGCAACTCTGATGGTTCGGTGTCCAGATATAAAGCGTTCCTCGTTGCCAAGGGATATGATTGAGAGTATGGTATTGACTACTTTGAAACTTTCAGCCCAGTGGTCAAGCAACAAACTATTCGGGTAGTCTTATTGCTTGCTATGCATTATGGATGGCCTCTTCATCAGCTTGATGTATCTAATGCCTTTTTGAATGGTGAGCTCGAAGACAAAATTTATATGACTCAACCCCCAACCTACATTGATCAGCGCTTCCCTCAGTATGTTTGTAAGTTGCGCAAGGCTCTATATGGGCTAAAGCAAGCTCAAAGGGCATGGTACCTTCGGCTATCCTCTTTTCACGCGGCTCAGGGATTCACTACTACCACCCATGATACAAGTCTTTTTATCAATCATTCTTCTCAGGGAATCATTCTCTTATTATTGTATGTTGGTGATATTATTGTTACTGGCTCGTCTTCGGCTCTTATTTAGGATTTCATCGAGAGTATGCATCAGGAATTTCAGATGAGTTTCTTCTGGGCTCTAGGTACATCCCAGTCCTCGTCCTTGCTGTGAACTGAGTGCACGTCCCCGTCGGGCATGACCTGCATATGGGATTTGTGGGATCTACTCCTCCTGGACCGGGAATGACCTGCCTTATTCATTTCACCAACCAGATTTGTCGCGATAGCTGACGGATAACACTGCTAGTTGAAATGTTGAATGATGCCCTAGCGTGTTCGGTAGGGGTGAATTTTGAGACAAGGCTTGGGGATACATCCCAGGGATAAAGGGGGCAAACCTTCCCGGTTACAGAAACATGAACATGAATTGTCCAAAGTTTTGGAGCGCTTGGGTGTACATTGGGTCGACAGTCACTGGAAAATTTGTGGGGAAGATATTCCCGGGGAGGGATGACATGAGTGCTATTTTGGTAGTGAAAGGAGTTGGTGTTAGCATGGTGAATATGGGAGCGGATATTTGGGTAAAGAGTGAAGGTAATGAGGTGTTAGAGTAAGAATTTGATAGTCGAAAGAGAGGTTGACTCGACCCAAACGTTGACTTATTCTACTACGTCGCGTCACTTACAATGCCGTCAAGGGGAAAGAAGCGAACAAAACTTTAGTCGAACACCTTAATCGAACCACGGATTAAACTTATATGATTGGTAGGGACATCGCAATAATGACCCAATTACTTTCTTGAATTCTTTCTTAAGACGAATCAATTTGTCTACAACGTAAAAGGGTTACATTTCTCCATATATGACCATGATGACAACTGCTTATAGAACCAAGAAGACAGAATATATCAAAAATTATTGAAATGCTCCAAGGCAAGTGTTTAACGAATGCTCATTCAAAGAGAATATTCTTTGAGATCCATAAATCGTGACAGCGTAATTAATGATCTTGGTGTAACTTTTTACATGTGCACCATCCCATTCTCAATTGTCTCGCCGGCCATCAGTGTGGTCGGGCCTCATTGAGCGCGAATCTGAGGTTGCCGAGTCCTCGGCATGCCTCCGCCTGCCCTCGGAAATTTGGTAGCGGAGGTCACTTGGGCGGCCTTCTTGTCCGCGTTTAAGCCTGTCAAAGGCCGACACACGAGTCTCCTCGCCCCCCAGGCACTTGAAGGCCGATACTCGGCACTCGCTGGACTCATCGTCCTCTCCTTCCGCAACGTCCTCCACCAGCACCTCCTCAATCACGGGAGCCTTGTCGGGCCTTCTCCCCCTTGTGTTGGAAAGTGGCAGCGTGCTCGGTAGTGGGACTCTGCGGAGCCTGGGTAGCTCCGGTGCCAGGTCCGCTCCCGCCAATGGCAGAGAGGGCCGATACGGTAGCCTGGAGTTGCTCGGCGGTCACCTCCATACCGAACAGCGCCTGGACCGCGGGAGCCGAGGTAATCCCTCATGTGCCGTTGCCGTTGCCCGGCACGTTCTCCTCGCCTACGACGTGGTTGGTGGTGGGGATGTTGCTCCTTGTTTGCACCATTCTCGCTTACAGGAGTTAACGTAACCTACGAGTATGTTTTCTCTTCTCTCAATGGAAGCACCAATTAGAGAGAGAGAGAATGCAAAGTAGGAGTATATTCATTCAAAATCCGGATCCTTTACAATGAGGGGTCTCAACCCTTTTATAGGGGATAAATTACAATTGGTCAAAGCCCTCTGATCGAGGTTGGTCGCTTAGCGGACGTCATCTGCCCCTCTGTCTTGTCCCTTTCATCCTATCGCTATCGCGAGGTCCCCATCGCCGGTCTCTATCTTCTCGTCGCTGTCATGCGGTTTGAGCCGAGCGCATGCAGGCTCGGCCGAGCACAACACTCCTCCACGTGGGCGAGGGGCCCGGCTGACGTCAGCCTAGGGGTTATCTTCCATCAATTATTAATTGAATAATTAAAATAAAAATTACTCCGTAATTTAGATCAAAATATGGGTGAAATTTAATTACTTTGGGAATAGAGATGGAGTGATAAGATGACCCACAAATTAGTTCCATGTTAGCTAAAAACCTCCCAAACCAAAAAACAACCAGGAGCTACCCTGGTACAACTATTTACTAGCAAACATTTCATTTAAACCTCCTCGGACTTCTTCTACATGTCCTAACTCTGCAGGCCACCATATCC